TATAGATGGCTGTTATACAGAATATAGTAAGCGTGGTCCATATTGGCTTATGAGTTTCTCCTGATCTTTCTTGGCCCCCTTATATATTACTGATTTCCAGGAAAACCCTTCGCTTGACGTTTTATATTAGAAAGCTCAGATTGTCTGGTGTAACTCAGACTCTACTCTTATTATTATTTATTTATTTTTCCCTTTGGTTCCTAGTGGAACATGGGTCTTCACTAGCATGTCTGCGTTCCATTCTGTTTTCTGTAGTCTTTTCGAACCGGCACCACAACTGCCTACAAGCTTTCATTTCTTCCTCACATGATCTCCTCTATGTCACCCCCGCCACGGACGCCCAACTAGTCGTTTCTCCTTTGGGTCTCAATCGAGAGCCTAACGCGTGATGCCCCCAGTCGGCCTTCTCAGTGTATGCCCAATCCATCTCCGCTTCCTTCCACTGCATATTTGTTGAGTGATAGGTTGTTGGTTGGTTCATTGCAAGAGTTCCTCCTTGCCTTTTCTTTCTGGCCATCTGATCTTCAGTGTCAGTATTGAGCGAGCGTAGGCGTCAGCTGTTGATGAATGTCTGTAATTTGTTGGAAATGCTTTTCTTGACAAGCCAAGTTTCTGAACCATCACATAGAAGCACTGACTTGACTTACGTTTCATTAATTCACGTGTTTTACCTATTCTTACTTATTGTTCTCCCTTATTCTCTTCCGGACTCCTGAATAAAGACTACACTTTATTAGGTAGGATTTTTAAGACTATTATTATAGCAAGCGGTACATTACTAATCATATTGTTGAGTGTGGTTGTCGATAGGCATCTGAACTCTTGTAGATATTTAGCGAAAAGTACTTCGTCTGATGACAAGCATCCTGTACATCTGCATCTCTCTCCATATCTGCCATCTTGGAAGACAAGAATCAAGTATATTAAACTCTATCCACGCATAACTACATACAAAAATTTAAGCATACCACCATATTTATCTTGTGTACTGTGTGAAGAAAGTCTTGTCAGACTATAGTTTTACTAATCAATCGTGTAATAGGGAATAATTATCATATACTTGAAGTTATTCACCATTTCAATAATTGTGTTCTCGTTAAACAGCATCACTGTAAAAATATTTTACAATGAATAAACTGATACAATATCACATACTGAGAATTCTGTACTGTAAACATAATTATGGTGTGGAATAAAGGAAATATATGGAAATTATTCATCAACGTTTGAAGGACTTGAATATACCCCATTGTACAACTTTTTTAAAGTTGATTATTATTATTATTATTATTATTATTATTATTTATCCCTTGGGTTCCTAATGGAACATAGGGCTTCACTAGCACGACTCCATTCCACTCTCTTCTCTGCATTCTTCTGAACCTGGTTTCACGACAGCCCACAAGCTCTCATTTCTTCCTCACAGGATCTCCTCCATATCACCCTCAACTCAGACGCCCATCTCGTCGCTTCCCATCTGGGTTCCACTCAAGACCTGGCGTGTGATGTCACCAGTCGGCCTTCTTAGTGCATGCCCAATTCACCTCCACTTCCTTCCAGTGCATATTTGTTGAGCAATAGGTTGTTGGTTGTTTGGTCACCAGGCCAGAGTTCCTTTTTGCTTATTCTTTCTGACTATCTGAGCTTTGGTATCTAGCCAGCGTGGACAGTTGTTGATGAATGTGTGTAGTTTGTTGGAAATCCTTTTCGTAATGCGCCAAGTTTCTTAACCATATAGCAGCAGTGACTTGATTGATATTAGTGTTGGAAATGTGGATGTTGTTCACGCTTTCTGCTGAGTGCAGAAGATCTCCACACTGGTTTCAGTTAATGAACGCCAGTCTCGCTTTTCGAATTCTGGCTGGCTTTGACGTCCTCATCTGTGCCACCTGTAGTTGAAACGATTCTGCCTAGATAGGTGAAGTTGACTGGTTCATTCAATTTGTAAGATTGTGAGGACTTATTGATTTTTAGTTTGTAATGATTATCACCTGTGATTTAGACCCTATAACTCAACGGTAAGGTATTCGCTACAAAGCCTAAAGGTATTGGATTCGATTTCGTATGGAGTGGTGAATGCGTACTCTTGAAGAGTCCCATAGTGGTACGAAACAACTATCCAATCTTCTTAAGTTTTCATGATGACTGCCAACTTGATCAAGGTTATAGTTTTTCAAGTTCTTAGTTATTGAGATCCTTCCATCAGGTTTGCTGTATCATTACACTAAACCATCTTATCTCTAGTAACATACGGACTACTAGTATCATGAAAGAATTAGTGAAATCTAGACGTTTTCAAAACATCACAGATGCATATATCTGTCTTCAGATTGGTCGGTAATAGATGCCAAAAAACATCAGTATAACATTAGTGTTATTGTTTGTATTGCACCGTCGTTGGTTAGACCGAATTGATCAGTCTCTGGATTCCACTGCTAGCCACTGCCCATCATTACTATATATAGCTAAAAAGACAGGCAATATCGAGACATCCACATAGCAGCCCATATGCCAACAGAGACTGATCAATTCGGTTCAATCAACAACGGTGTAATACAAACAATAACACTAAACCTATACCCGTCGCATAAGAAGTGGTTATCGTGGCCCGGTGGTGTAGTGGATAACGCCCTGGCGTTTCAACCGATCGCTCCCGAGTCCCGGTGAGAACAACATCATTCACTAAGAGGCAGGTACATCCAGCTGACGAGTCCCAAATAGGACGGAATACGCATCCTGGATTCCCTTGCTAGCCAATGCCCATCATTGCTATACATCAGTATAATATTGTTTTGATAAATCTATAACGGCGAATGTTTAAGTAACATAAGAGTAAAACTTGTGCACTATGGTAGAATGCAATTCCATTTTTATTGACTTATTAGATTTATCACACCCAAGTGAATGAACAGTAGTATCTACTGGATTACGTTTCGGACATCATTGATTCTCCATAGTTGTTATGTCAAGATAACTACACACTACACTTTGAGATATCCTTTATATAGTCCTGATTTCTTCAACCCCTTTGCCATATGGATACTAAGACTTTCTATATATCTAGAATAGGAGCTGCTGTGTTATTCCCGTGACTGCATGTATTAGGTTCTGACTCAATATACAAACACTCAGTTATCCATCTCTCCCTCCACGCTACTGTGTTAGTTTTAAGGATTTTCACCTTGTCCCAACCAGCCTATTGTGTGTAATCGCATGCATAGTTATGGCTGAGTTTTTCTCTAAATTCCTTACCTTACTAGGATCGATCAATTTTGACCTAGATAGGGTTTTGTGTTCGGATAGCCTAATTGACCAATCCTAGTCGACTACTTTGATCTTTGTATTTGACAACCTCACAATCGTTGCAAGAGATTTGGTGAACTAAGTTATTCTGCCCAATTGGATCCAAATGGATCTTTTAACCAACAAGGCTTATTCCTGAGTGAGTTTTTAGGTTTAAATGCCACTCTCATCCCAGTCAGACTTATTGAGAATCTTACGCAGTTTCTCTGAGGTGCCTTCCTGGTACGATTATACTGCAGAGGTTTTGAATTCTCTATTCACAGTATTATTATTTATTTGTCCTTTGGGTTCCTAATGGAACATAGGACTTCAGTAGCACGTCTCTATTCCACTCTGCAATCTTCTGAACCTGCCTCCGAAACTGCCCAGTGCTGATTGCAGTTTTCTGTAGAATTCCTCCTTCTCCTCTTCATCCGCATTATTTGTAGGTGCGTAGCATTGTACGATTGTGACTTTCCTTCCTTTCGAGTTGAACCTTGCTGTCATGATCCTGGAGGAGATTGGTTCCCACTGCATGAGAGACTTCGATGCTCTCGGAGACATCATGATAGCCACTCCATAACTCAGTGTGCTGTGCTCGTGGTTGTCGTCTGGGTGACAATATTGGAGTAGACCATTGACTCTCCAGATGAAAGTTTGGAGAGTCCACTTCTATTCCACCTGCTTTTGCAGATTCCTAGCACTTCTATGCTATACCTTCTCATCTCCTTTGCAATCCGGGCAGCCTTGCTAGGTCCAAATATAGTGCGGACATTCCATACCCCATGTTTAATTTCGCTATCATCGAGGGAGAGAAGACACATCGGCCAATTTGTTTCCCGAAGGTTTTCACCAACCAGCCTCACTTCACCTCTTCGATTCCAGCGAAGAATAAATTTGTTTTTATTTTTTGTCTGTGCTTTGAAGTTTCTTTAGCGGTTAGATTGGTTTTCCGGTGTAGGGTTGCTAGCCGTATGCCCAACCTTCCCTCTTTACCTGGGCTTAGGACCGGCTAGTAACTAGTGAACTAGTTAACCAGGTAGGGTTGGGAGAAGCTTGTACATACACACAGTTTTGGGGTGAACAATTAGAAGTTTCCGGAAAGTTTATCCATCTAGGTAGTCACAAATGTTGATAGGGATGTTACTGATAATGAGATATCCGATATCATATCGAAATTTAGAACACCATCAGTCAATCTGGGCTACCTTTGGGCAGTTATAACGTTAGACGCGCTGTAAAAGCTGAAATATACACCGCATCGATGCTGACAGTTTTTCAGTACACCTGTTAAACCTGACCTTTCCAAATTCACGGTGTCCGACAATACAGTAGTTACGATCACTACCGCCTCCGCAGAACTACTGACACCCGGTGGAAACATCATGCAGGTAATTTTGAGGTCCGGTGGAGATCATCAGTCATTAAATGAAGTCATCCTTAAACATCAGCTTAAATCCATATCGCTCGCTTGCTTTCAAACTGATGGGAAGAGACGAGCACATGGTCAGTGTATGACGTGGCAATAGAGTTATTGCAACTCACTGGCTGGAAAATATATTAGATAAGCCTTAGAATTGGAACCACGGTCTCTGGTAGTTGCTGAAGTTATTTTCTATAAAACGAAGGTGATAATGGCTTTTCATATCTTAGTTGAGTTCCCTTGCTGAATATATGAATGATTAGTTTTTTGTTGTTAACACGTTCTCCTGTTATAGGTACAGAGTACTTTACGCGGATTCCAACCAATCATTATTGGCCATTGAAGAAGGTCGAATAGACAAGACAAATGCTTCCACTTTTACAGCAACACGATTTCAAAGATTCAACGAAGAATGCATAAATTCCAAGGAAAAACTACAGTTTATTCTATTAATTGGATTCCATAGAAAAAATCGAGAACCGGAAAAGTGTAATGAAACAATAATGAAAACGATGGAAGGGTTACAAAGAAGGATCTCATGTTATATGACATTGTGAGAAGAGTCGCTATCTTATATTTTGTACCTTCTTTTCAACTACTATTTATTTTGTTAGTAGTGTGTTTTTCTAAGAATTAAATTCAAACTATAACCACTGGGTTAGTAAACAAGATCGTCTGAGAGCCATTAAGGCTTTAGATAGGTGACACTATCTTATAAACTTAACTGACAAGTTCTCCTCTGATATTTCGAAACCTAAGTAGTTTTACTTTAAAGTTCTGAGGTAAGCACGTAATGACACACTTCTTAGTCTCATTCACATCGCGATAAAAAGCAACCATCATTCACTATTAGTCTTCATATGATCGACTTCATCGGTCATGCCTACCCGGTTAAACTACAGTGCTTATCATGGCAACCGATCTCAGTAGGTGAAGCGAGGTTTGAAAATTATGACCTACTGATTGCAAGTGAAATGCCAAAATCAATAAGTTACAGCTCCATTAACGTCATGAAAAATCGTCTTTGGAATTCAGTTTCAGAGATTCATAAGTTTTAGAGTTGGCATTCACCATAGATTGACATCCGTGAGACGAGACATCGAACCGACGACCATCAAGCACAGCAAGTTACCACTGAGTCAATCAGTCAGAATCCAAAATTTCCTACTACCGTCAGTTAGTGATATACAGAGAACTCCGTTCAATGCCACGTCTGAGTAACCTGCCCTCGTGCATTTGGAATTGCACCAATGACGTTTCCAATTACCAATAAACAATTTAATGGTCAGCAAAAATATGAGAACAAATCTGCAAACACAGAAAAACCAGCTGTTACATAATTAGACAATTTATCATAATTCAAACTTAAATATTACAATTTGTCTTTTCGGCTCCTAGAAGAACACAGGCTTCACTAGAGCGTCTCAATTCCACTCTCTTCACCCCAGTCTTCTCAACCTGGTAAAAAACGGCCACAAGCCCTCATTTCCTCCTCACACTATCTCCTCCATGTCACTCTCACCTCAGACGCCCAACTCGTCGTTACCAATTTAGCTTCCACACAACGGCCTGCCCTGACGCGTGATGTCCAAAAACCGTCTTCTCAATCTATGCCCAATACAACTACCTAGCTTCTACTGCATACTTGTTGCGTGATAGGTTCCTGATTCATTCGTTGACAACCAGAATTCCTCCCTACTTATTCTTATTATTCTGACCATCTGATCTCCATCTCCATTGTCAGTATCGAGTGAGCATAGGCGGCAGCTATTAATGTGATGGATGTCTGTAGTTCGTTGGAAACGCTTTGAGCAACACCCAGTCAAGTCTCTCAAACTTCACACAGAAGCACTGGCTTACTTGACTGACATGAGTGTTGACAATCCGGATGTTGTTCACGCTTAATGCTGAGTGGAGTGAACTGCAGTGCAGTGCAGTGCAGTAGATCTCCACATTGATTATTTGAGATTAATGCAGGGAGACCTGTCATGCTGTCTTTCCGATCCTGGCTGCTTTGACATCCTCATCTGTGCCACCGACATCACCGTCTGTAGTTGAAACGATGCTGACTTGCCTAGGTAGAGAGGTAGGTAGGTGAAAGAGACTACTTCCTTTAGCTTTCTCCCATTAATGGTGATTAGTGCTTCTTGCTGTTGTTGTTGTTGCTACTGGTTGCGTATCTTCACCTGTCACCTCTGTCTTCTCTACGTTCACCTCACCTCTTCTACCATCTTGTTACCTTCCACCTGTACATCTTCGAGCTTGTCCGACAAGACATCACACATAAATCATCATCACCATCGGCGAAATCCAAATCTCCTTCTGGGATCTCTTCATCGCTCCAGACAGCCTATGCCCATCTCACAGCTCCTCACACTTGTCTGTTGCATGATCAAGTCCAGTCCAGTCAAGTCCAGTCAAGTCAAATCGACCACAATCACCAAGATCATCGGGGATGACAGGAGGCGGCAACCTTGTCTCACTCCACTCTTCACTTCAAAGGCATCACTGAGCAGCTATCCACTGTCAATCACTCGACATGTAACATCATATGGTATATAGCTGCTGTTGAATGAGGTTGATACACGTTTGTGGCACTCCATCATGTCCAAGCAGCTGCCTGCCGAATTACTTCTCAGTCGACGCTGTCGAACGCCGGCCTTTTCAAAGTCGATGAAGTTGAGGTGCATAGTTGACTGCTATCCTATGCTCTCTTCGATGATGATGCACATGCGCAACGCACCATTGCCACTTCATCCGCACATGATTTATTCCAACTGAAGCCAACCAGCCAGCTAGTTTGTTACGATCGTAATTTTGAATCCACAGCATATTTTAGTCTCTCCAGAATGATGCGGCTTAATATTTAGCTTGCTTTTGGTTGGAGAGGAGTGGAGCATGATTCCTCGGGAGTTCTTGCAAAGACTTAAGTCGCCCTTCTTGTGGAGGTACCTTTCGTTTGTTCCTTCCAAACCTTCATTAATAGTGTTAACGATTTTTTGGTTCATATTTTATTCAATGATTTAACAGATGAGCATGAATCGTATACATTTAGTGGTTTCGTGTAAATAGACAGATTCCAAGAGGATATTAGCTACACTGCTTACTGACTAACTTCATTTCCTCATTACTGAATCAATCAATCGATCCACAAGTTAACAGAAAAGATTAAGAATTGCACTAGAGTGGATGATAACAGGCTCCCAAACATATGGTTATTTCGGAAATACTCACCACAGACTGTAGGTCTTTACGAAAAGAAATTGATTACCTCCAGCCACCTATATCGCTAAATATTTAGCGTAACATGGGTGTAATAACACTGCACGGAACTCGACTTCATAATCTACATGATGATGATTTAGTTTTTCTAAATGGTTTGCTAGTTATTTCGATGCATTTCCAAGACGAAATGTAATGGAGATTTGGGAACATTTATCAGTACCAATTTAGACTGTGTTATGTTTTAGATTCTTCAGTGACAAAATAGATTACATTACTGTTAAATATCATCCAAAACATTTGAGTAAATGTAAACATACATTTTCACAGCAAACATTTACGTCGCACCTGACTACAGTTTCTTGGACTAATCAACTTTTGTTGATGAATTCACTGATCTAATTTCGGGTAATTCTTTGTAGAGATTTTATTTCATGTGACTGCAGTAACGAAATCAGTTCCATTTGACTCACCACAACATAACTTAGTGGTAATTAAAATCTTTTTAGTAACCCCTCATATATTCGTGCAGTAGAGGCAATGAGCCAGCTACACCTATTGTTGCACCTAAAAGTCGGTAAGTGGAGAAGGGTTCGAACCAACGACCTATCGGTTGAAAATCAAGTGCTTACCTCAATGAAGCACATCTCCACCTATTAATAAACAGTGAATTTCGACAGCTTTGTAAAACCTAATCATGAAGCAATATTCGTTTTATTATGATTTAGTTGATATGACACTAAATGAATGTACAGCCAATTTTTCGACAACATCCAGACTTTTGAAGTTCACCTGTATCCAGCGGGACAATTCTCAGAAAATTTAAAAGCAACACTCTCGTTAATTAATGGATTTATTGTTGTAAAAGTAAAGTAAAATATTTGTATTAGATTAATTACATCCATACATTCCTTACACTGGCCAAAAACGTGTCTAGTCATAATGTACAACTTTCACAAATAATCATAAAGTTGATGAGAGAAAAATGCCAACATTTATTCACATCTCTCTTTCATTGAGACAACTTTTGTTGTTGTTGTTGTCTTAATTGTTTTTGCCATTGTGCCGCAAATCCTGCAAATTGACCACTACTAAGCAATTGATGAAGACGTTCCACTTCATCCATAGTTCGAGCTCGTTTTATTGCCTCTTGAATAGCGAATAAATCTTGGTTTGAGCCAACTGAAAAACAGAAAGAATATTTCATGATTATAAACAGAGTATTTTCTTTTTAAAGAAAAGCGACATTAGACAATCTGTTTCTTTAGGTTGTATCATAATGAAGCTTCCCAAACGGGAGAAACATAAGGGGAGTAACCTCTTTCACCTACCCAGCTGCCTGCCTAGGTAGCATCGTTTCAACTACAGACGGTGATGTCGGCGGCACAGATGAGGATGTCAAAGCAGCCAGGATCGGAAAGACAGCATGACAGGTCTCCCTGCATTAATCTCAAATAATCAATGTGGAGATCTACTGCACTGCACTGCACTGCAGTTCACTCCACTCAGCATTAAGCGTGAACAACATCCGGATTGTCAACACTCATGTCAGTCAAGTAAGCCAGTGCTTCTGTGTGATGGTTGATAGACTTGACTGAGCGTTACGCAAAGCATTTCCAACGAACTACAGACACTTATCACATGAACAGCTGCCGCCTACGCTCACTCGATACTGACAATGAAGATGGAGATCAGATGGGCAGAATAATAAGAATAAGCAACAAGGAACTCTGGCAACGATTGAATCAAGAACCTAGCATCCAACAAATATGCAGAAATGGAAACAGATTGAACATACACTGAGAAAACGGTTTGGCGACATCGCACGTCAGGCCAGGTCGTTGTGTGGAAGCTAAATTGGTAACAACGAGTTGGGCGTCTGAGCCGACGGTGACATAGAGGAGATGATGTGAGGAGGAAATGAGAGCTTGTGGGCAGTTGTGGTGCCAAGTTGAAAAGATTGCAGAGAAGAAAGTAGAATAGAGACGTCCTACTGAAGCCACGGAAAAATAAATAATAATAATTTTTAGATTTTGTCTTTATACTACTATAAAATGAAAAGTCTTTGCATATGATTTATATACCTTTGACTATTTGAGATAATTATGGTTTGACACGCCAATATTTTATCTCCACTTTCCTGATTGTTGAAACACCCACCTGGTGGTGCTTAGATGCATAATAAGTTCTTTTGATGACGTTGTCTAGCCTCCGGTTAACTTCTAAGATTATCGTCTCCTTTAAAAAAGGCATTTTAGTAAATACTGACTTCTTTTGGAGTCGTAAGAACCATTTATTATCACGTGGAATCAAGAAACATTTCTGGCTGTAAGTGATCTAGAAGGTGTCATTTGTCTAAGTGGATCTATCAATTATTACTTCCCTCGATTCACTCCATTTAGTGCCCTCCAAGCATTGTATACTAATAATACCCGATCATAGCTTTTCTCTATCATTCTTACTCATCAGTGAATTGGAACCAAAACCCAAGTATAGTCCAATGATTCCTACTGCTACTGACTATCTTTGCTATTGTAATTTACTTGGTTATGGCTAGCAGAGGAATCCAGGACGCGCGTTTCGTCTTATTTGGGACTCGTCAGCCAGGTATACCTGGACCTCAGTGTGGAGTGTGATGTTGTTCCCACCGAGACTTAAACCTCGTACCCATCACTTCAAACGCCAAAGGTCGAACAATTTGGTCCAGTAAAACAACGGAGAATTACATGCATATCAACAAATAGTTATAACTAATACCCGTTGTACAAGAGGTGGCCATCGTGCTTCAGTGACCTACTGGACAAAGCTTTGGCGTTTGAAGCGATGGGTACAAGGTTCGAGTCTCAGTGGGAATAACATAACTCCGTACTGATGTGCAGGTACATCCAGCTGACGAGTCCCAAATAGGATGAAACGCGCGTCTTGTATCCCTCTGCTAGCTACAACCAAGTACATTACCGTAGTAAATATTCAGGCAGTATCGAAGCATCCGCATAGTAGCCCATATGCCAACTGGGGTCAAACAATTCGATCCAGTATTACAACGGAGAATTGCAGGTTTATCAACAAATAGTTATATCTTTACTGTTGTTTTCACAGCAAGTCGACCATATCAAATGAAAGTGGATCGAACAAACTGTTTTGAAAGCAATTAATTTTTCGTCAGGATTACTATGTGTCTATCAATAACCCCGATCGACTTTAGGAGAGAAGCGACGGTTGGATGCGTTGACTACTTCACTTACTTGAGCATTCACGTTATCCTTTTTATGTGTTGGTGATCAGTAGAACCTCATCACGGTTCAAAAAGCCATAATTAACTTTCGCTAACGCATTTGAACAACAGTTATCTTCATAGCTTCTTTGTGTTTCGTCCACTTTCATGTGCTAATGTGAATTATGGCAACTTGAGAGGCTTTACGCACCAATGCGTTAAATCCTCTGTTTTTCATATAAGTCTCAACTTCTGTTGGCATATGGCCTCCTGTTTGGATGCCTCAATATTGCTTGATTATTCATTAGGTTGTAATGTGCTTGGTGGTGGTGGCTGGTAGTGAGATCTTGGACGCAAGTTACCTCCTATTTTTGACTCGTCAGTTGGGTGTATCTGCATCCCAGTAAGTTATACTGTTTTCATCGCTTCAAGTGCCAAAGCGTTATCCTTCACAAGGTCACCGAGGTATGAGAGCCACCTCTTGTCGAATAACAATAACGCGGAATTACAAGTACCATTAAATACTAGTAACAAATGATACCCGTTGCACAAGAGATGGCTCTTGCGTCTTCTGTGCTCATTGGATAACATTTTGGTGTTTGAAGTAGTCAGTTTAGTGTTCGAGTTCCAGTGCAGGTATACTCAAGTGACGATTCGTGAGTCCCGAATAGAACTAAACGCACGTCCTAGATTCCACTGGCAGCTAACACCAAGAAAATTACAACAGAAAGTAATATAAACTTGGGATGAACTGAATCATACATACTCAAAACAAAATATGACACTAATCCATAAAGCCACTTGGGGTTGATTTCAGAAACAGACTAGGAGACAACAGTGGACATGCTCACACCACTAGTGCAGAAGGTTGCGAAGAAAGAAAACGTACCAGCCGATTGGAAGAAGGGCTACCTTGTGAAACTCCACAAGAAGGGCGACTTAAGTCTTTGCAAGAACTCCCGGGGAATCATGCTCCACTCCTCTCCAACCAAAAGCAAGCTAAATATTAAGCCGCATCATTCTGGAGAGACTAAAATATGCTGTGGATTCAAAATTACGATCGTAACAAACTAGCTGGCTGGTTGGCTTCAGTTGGAACAAATCATGTGCGGATGAAGTGGCAATGGTGCGTTGCGCATGCGCATCATCATCGAAGAGAGCATAGAATAGCAGTCAACTATGCACCTCAACTTCATCGACTTTGAAAAGGCCGGCGTTCGACAGCGTCGACTGAGAAGTAATTCGGCAGGCAGCTGCTTGGACATGATGGAGTGCCACAAACGTGTATCAACCTCATTCAACAGCAGCTATATACCATATGATGTTACATGTCGAGTGATTGACAGTGGATAGCTGCTCAGTGATGCCTTTGAAGTGAAGAGTGGAGTGAGACAAGGTTGCCGCCTCCTGTCATCCCCGATGATCTTGGTGATTGTGGTCGATTTGACTTGACTGGACTTGACTGGACTGGACTTGATCATGCAACAGACAAGTGTGAGGAGCTGTGAGATGGGCATAGGCTGTCTGGAGCGATGAAGAGATCCCAGAAGGAGATTTGGATTTCGCCGATGGTGATGATGATTTATGTGTGATGTCTTGTCGGACAAGCTCGAAGATGTACAGGTGGAAGGTAACAAGATGGTAGAAGAGGTGAGGTGAACGTAGAGAAGACAGAGGTGACAGGTGAAGATACGCAACCAGTAGCAACAACAACAACAGCAAGAAGCACTAATCACCATTAATGGGAGAAAGCTAAAGGAAGTAGTCTCTTTCACCTACCTACCTCTCTACCTAGGCAAGTCAGCATCGTTTCAACTACAGACGGTGATGTCGGCGGCACAGATGAGGATGTCAAAGCAGCCAGGATCGGAAAGACAGCATGACAGGTCTCCCTGCATTAATCTCAAATAATCAATGTGGAGATCTACTGCACTGCACTGCACTGCACTGCAGTTCACTCCACTCAGCATTAAGCGTGAACAACATCCGGATTGTCAACACTCATGTCAGTCAAGTAAGCCAGTGCTTCTGTGTGAAGTTTGAGAGACTTGACTGGGTGTTGCTCAAAGCGTTTCCAACAAACTACAGACATCCATCACATTAATAGCTGCCGCCTATGCTCACTCGATACTGACAATGGAGATCAGATGGGCAGAATGATGAGAATAAGTAAGGAGGAACTTCGGCGGGCAGCAAACCAAGGACCCATCGCTCAATGACTATGTAGTTGGAGAAAATGGAGATGGACTGGACTGAGCATAGACTGAGAAGACGGTTTGGGGACATCACGCGCCAGACCATGCTGTCGTGTGGAAACCAAATGAGAAACGATGAGTTGGGCGTCTGAGGCGAGTGACATGGAGGAGATAGTGTGAGGAGGAAAAGGAAGCGTACGTGGAGTAGTGGAGGCAGGTTGAAAAGACTGGAGTGAAGAGAGCAAAATGGCGATGCGCTAGTGAAGTCTTATGTTCCACCAGGAACCCGAAGGATATATGGTAAAAGTAATAAAGATAATATCAAACCGAGAAGACTTTTACAACTCACCTGGGCGTTTATTGCCTGTTGTAACAGGAGTGGAAGAAGGTGGAGGCATAGGAGTATCATTTGATCCGGTTATAGATGTATCAGATTTGTTTGACTCAATCTGGTTATTTTCTATGGATACAATTAAACCAGGTGCATTATTTTCTTTACTATCACCAACATGATTTTGTTCACCAGTAGATTGTATTGGTTCAGTTCCAGGAGGTAAAAGATTGTTTGAATGAATTGGAGCTCCAGGAATAAATGTTTTCACGGTACCAGTAGTATTAGTTGTAGTATTTGAATTTTCTACACGCGTAACATTAACTTTTTGATATGGTACCTTTATATTATTTACAGTATTTGATAACGCTGGGAGACGTTTAAACATTGATCTAGCTAATTTACGTTCAGCTTGTGTAACACGACGATAATCAAGAAAACGAAGCTAAATAGGCAAAAAAACCAAAAAGAGCACAACAGTTAGTCCTTCAATTATCAAAGGTATTTAGAAGCATTCGAGAATCAGAAATACTAAATAGATAGACAAGAATAACGCAGAACTTTGGAGATAGGTGTCCATATTGATTCCAGTTGCCATATTTCACAGTAGCAGTGAAGAGACAGAAGACAGACACGATGGGAAGAATATTGATTATCAACAATTGGAACGGTAGTCCTTACATATTGTACACCTTGCACTAAACCCGCGTCATTTGCAAAATGTGCTTCATTTTCTCCTCTGTTTCTCTCTTGATTTGCTTTTCATACATTCTTATCAGCAGCATCCATTGTAATACGCCTGCGTTATCTCTTGCGTTGCTCTTGGCAGAATCCTTAACCATTGCTGGTAATTCCCTATGATTTCTGCCACCCTCTCAGCATATATTACTTATATCCATTCTTATCAGTAACGCCCACTACACCAGTAAACAAAGAATAAGTGGATTGCGAGAGTATTGTGTGAAAGAACACATAATTTAAAAGTAAAGGCTAGTACAAATTATTCAGGCTTTGGAAGTTGTCAAAGAGTGAATATATCTGGGGCAATGTTACCAAGAATCCTCGATCACTGACTTCTTTCGTCTCGCGGACCCCATGCAGGTGAGTAGTCTACATCTCAGTAAACACTATAAGGTTAGCAATCTAAGGATAGTAATGCTAAATTGTGAACTATAATATCATAGGGCAAAAACACATTAACTACCTAAGCCAACAATGCAACCTGAACGGATAATAAAATACTACATCCTAGATCATGAAACTATCGATTAAAAATCTCTCTGTAACTACTGCCAGGTGAAAAATTTAATTTCATGTGAAATGAAAAAAGGAGGGATAATGTTACTCAAACATCTCGCTTACATCGAATTACGCATGTATTTGTTGTGAGAATTAGACTACTTCAGGAGGTCCCGCTAGGATCGATCTTGTAACCTGTTGTCCAAAACCTCAGCACTTATGCCAATGTATTGCAGGGTATGAATAAAAAAACCCCCAATAAAAATCAGCTGAGATGTTTGTATACCTCTGGCCCAAAAAAATATTCGTATAACTTTAACCACTCGTCTGTCTACCCGAAGATATTACTACTTATGCATCATTCTGAAAGTGTACAAGGAATACACTTAATGTCTATAACAAAAATTGATACCAAAACTATTTTGCTTATCAATAAACTCTTGCATGAAATTCTGATGGATATCAGAAGTGGTCGCTGGTTCGAATCCGGCCACGGGCAAGATTTTTATTTCACCTTCAATCATCACCCAGTATAAATATCAGAAGTAACACTTCTACACATCAGCTGCATTCAAGTCTTTAATGATAATAACGACAGTAATTATCATTTTGACTACCTGAGATAGGTGTAGTCTGGCAGACTAGTATTGATACTGGGTAATGAATGATTGAAGGTGGAACGAAAATTTGGACCGCGGCCGGATTCGAACCAGCGACCACTAAGTTTCCAGCCTCGTAGCTAGCTTAGTTGGTATAGCACCGGGCTGGAAACTAGGTGGTCACTGGTTCAAATCTGGACGCGGTTCAAATTTTTATTTCACCTTTATTCATCACCCAATAATAAAAATTCGACTTGGAGGTTTGTGGGGACTTCAACAGTCACTCTGAGGACAATATTTCTAAACAAAATGATTATTCCACCTGAATGATGTTAATAATAACAGTATAAAAAATAACACAATGTGAAACAGCCGACTAATGTTGGATTAGCATTCCGGTTAGAATGGAGAATGAGTAGGAAAGCGAACTCAAGTTTGTTGTTGATGGTGACGGTTCATTCAGCCAGTACGTCATCATAAATATCAACATAGGACCAGACATTACTGCTTAACAGTCCGAGTTGCCACAGCTCATATCATTACATCAAGTAAAAATACAGTGAAGTGGAAGCTGAAGAAAAGAAATATTTCTTTGCTGATACATGCCTTGTTCTCGTTAATAAATAAATGGGTATATTTCGTCAGTTGAAAGAAAATTCAGTCAAAAGAAATGCAAAGTACGAAAAGAGAAAGGAAAAATGAAAAACTGGTATGGCTTTAAGATGAGAACAATATGTGTATACATCTGCGCCACTCACATCAGTTCTCAGTCATATCGCCTACAGTCAACCTCCAACTACTGGTTTCCCTTGTCCCGCGGACAACAACCACCTAGTCTGCATAGTCCCACATGGCTCAAACTAACAGTCAAACACTTCACACATTCATGCCATGTTTTAGTTTGGCCGCCTAGAGTCTCCTTCCAGCCTGGACCTACTTCGGCAAACATTGTGTGACGAGGCAGACAGTGACTAGGCACACACAACACGTGTCCCAACCAACCATCTCAGTCAATGAAGATTCACAACCTCGTCAACTCACATCTTCTCACTAAAACTCTACACCTGAGCCTGACTTCTACGTTACTCACATGGTGATACCACAGAATGTGACCTATACTACGAAGACACCTGAAGCCAGCTTTCTCATGTCTTCCACCTTCAATAGCCATGTTTCATAGTCATACAGTAGAACACAGTGGACTGCTGTGTAGTACACGCGACCCTTAATAGACAATCGGATATCACGGCGACGCCACAGCTGGTGTAAATTGGCAAAAGCCAACCGAGTCTTTTATATTCATGCAGAAATTTCATCGACCACTGAGCAATGCACCAGGGTACGGCTGATCCCACTCAACCACTTCACTCTCTATTGTTAGCCGTGGCAACGTTGAAGACGAATCCTTTAGCAGTAATTTGCATTTGGATGGTAAGAAACGCATCCTAAACATTCTCAAATTGCCACTCAAAGTGTTCAGAAGACTCTGGAAGTACAAGAATCTATCATTCGAGATAAGTATCCGAGAAATAGAAATATGATAGACCTTTTGCATTTCTGAAAAAAACATCCCTATCTAAGGTGACATGTTTCCTTCTTTTTATCATTCAACTCGAGAAACAGCTAGTTGCAAACATTATAAAAATGCGTAAGAATAGATGACACATTTGGAGGACATGGTTGAAAGATTGAAACAAGAAACTGGAAGGAAAGAATACGATGTAATATGTTCGGTGAGAATTTTTTCTGAATAGGCGAAAGTTTAAGCAGTAGATTGCTCGACAATCAACTCTCGAAGTATATATATATATATATATATATATATATATATATATATATATATATATATATATATATATATATATATATATATATATAAATTCGAAGCTACTTGACCTCATTTTACTTACACAGAGCTAAACAGCATGTTTAAACAAGACATTAAATGTGAAGAGTCTAGTTATTAGGATTTGTGGATCAGAATTGCATCACTTCACCTTCATAAGATATATACCTAAGCTAACTAAATACCAAAACTTAGAAAACATTAAACAATCGACACAAAAAAGAAATGAAACTATGCTGTTGTACAATATCTACAAAATTATTAAAAAGGTAGTGGAATAATTCAACTCACAGATGTAACACGACTAATCACATAGAGTCGGTAATTGGCACGCATTGTCACAGGACAATGGAGTAAGCTTAGAAAATTCAGTTTATCACATGATGATAAAGGGTCCAAGTCTTTCAGATCAGAGAGGTAATTACCAGTCAAAATAAGAGTGAGAAGGTTTGGCAATTGTTGACCCAGATCTTCAGATATGCGGGCTATCTACAAACATGTATGAAACAGTAGATATGGAATTGGATATTGTTAAATTGTACAACTTCAGTAAATAAGTTAGATGTCAAACAGTATAAACAGATATTGCGTAACAAGCATCAGTTTGTGTAGCAGCCACTATCGAAATCCATACATGATAAACACGTTTTCCGCAGTTATTTCGTCAACATCTTTCAGAATACTTTCTTAACTTTATATAGCGTAAACTGAAATACGCAACATCATTTAGTTGGGTTCGAATCTAAACTCACAATCATCATAGAAACGAGAACCTGTGTACACATTATCAAGCTGACTTTTTGCGCTAGTTTTCTGTTTAAGTTCAGATACACAATCTCAATTACATTACGGTACTTATTTGTAAAATAAGTCCGCAAACTCTGCATAGCTTTGAAAACAGTCAAACAAACCGAGATTGCTTTTACCATATTGTGATTTTTTAGACAGTTAGTTAACTGTTACAAGATTTGGCTTTGGTCGTATGTAAAGGTGATAAAAATTGACATGTATTTAATGAATACCTATACCATCTCTCCTATCTTCTTGGTCATTGACTCCATTATCCTTATTTTGTCCTTCATCTTTCAATTGATATCAGTGAGTTCATAGATAATTGAAGAACAAAACGTAATCGGTTACAAGTTTGGGAGGGCAACGCACAATCTACTTATAGTTTACATCCATCCATCCAAATCAACATAGGACCAAACATTACTGCGTAACAGTCCGAGTTGCCACAGCCCATATCAGTACACCAAGTAAAAACGCAATGAAGTGTTCAGAAGACTCTGCATCTTGCCAGCGTCTTCACCTAACAAAACTATTGTCATCCGCGTATTCTACGTCTAACGAAAATCCTCCTGCGATCAGGTCAACGTCTGTATAACCAGGTGACGAAAGGGAGATCTCCATAAGAATATCTATAACAAAACTGAATAAGAAGGGAGAGAGTCGGCTGTCTTGACGGATGCCTCTCGACGAGTACAGCCCCCGGACATCTCATTATGGGATTTAACATGCCTACAAGTGTTCGAGAAGAGCGCCTTCAATAGGGTGGTTTACGTAGACAGTTTACATAAACAGTAACAGAAAATAACTCAATAAGGTTTATTAACAACTAGGAGAATCTCAAAACTTTTCACATTTCACTTGGTGGTTACATGGATGAATTGGACTAGAAATCGTAGTCAATATTTTATTTCAGAATTCTTACTTCGAATCTACTGTGATAAAAAAAAGTCGGTGTACATTCAAAACATGCAGAAACCTGAAGCTTAACATCCACAAAACACCAATCACTCGAGATTCTATCTCAAAATTATCACTATGATTCTCTAATGTGGATTTGGTACTCACAATTTAAAAACTACTGGATACTGGTCCAGGTCCTTATACTAAACATAAAGGTGAAGATTATGAGGAAGTGAAAATAATATAATCAGATGTCGCAGGATGTTTACTCACTCTATTCTCATTCAACGTTCATAGACGCCTTATCATCTGATTTTACAGGGATCAGAACTATCACAGAAGAATCCTTAGTGGACCTAGAGTAGGCACGTAACATAGTCCTGTTAGATGAAGACGCTGACAAACTGCAGTCTTCTGCATACGTTGAGTGGCAATTTCAGGATGTGTGGCATACGCTCCTCACGACCCAAACAGAAATTCTTACTCCTGGACTGGTCTTCACTGGTGCCTTGTCTAACAATAGGGAGTGAAATGGTTGATAGAACCGACCACTTCACCCACCTGCGAAGTCAGATTACCCCTGGTAGGTCAGCGACTGACGAACATACTCGCTAACATACGCCATTTATGGATTAGTTACGATATTCGACTGTCTATTAGGGGTCAAGTGTACTGCGCTGCAGTTAGCTGTTCCACTGTATGCTTATGAAACACGGCCTTTAAAGGTAGAGGATATGAGGCTTCAGTTTTCTTTACCACGGCTGCCTTCGTGGCATAGTCCATGTGTGCTGTGATGTCACGTAGAAGTCAGGCGTGACGTACTAGGGAGAAAGACGTTGTGCATCTTGATGGATTCAGATGGCTGGGGCACCTGCTACGCATGCCTAGTCACCGTCTACCTTATCGCAAAATGTTGCCTGAAGTAGGTCCAGACTGGAAAGAGGTTGGAGGCGGCCAGCATTGGTCTGTGAAGTTGCTGACTTTTGGTCTGAGTCAGCCGGGTAGGGAAATGAAGACTTCCCAGTCGTGGTTCGTGTAACAACAAATCATCAGCTGGAGACTAGGTGATATGGCTCAGAATCCGTGTCAAGGGTCCCGATGTATCCACACTTTATCTTAACTGTCTTTCCGAATCTCAGTATTCAGTCATCTCACCTGTTTTTTCGCGGCTTTCTTATTCATTTCGCATCTTTCGTCTTAGCGCATTCTCACTTGATGTAGTGATATGAGGTGTGGCAACGTGGACTGTTGTGCAGTAATGCCAAATCCTGTGTTGATACTGATTTTCTGTCTTATGTCGTCCAAAGTCACACAACAGAAAAAGGAGAAAGAGAATAACCATATGGGCAGACGAAATTAACGCAGAAACCCGCATAAAACTACATCGGTCCCAGTTTACACACTTTGCAGTAGCATGTAACGAACAAGTGGGTAGAAAAAGTGATATCAAAGTAGATGAAAGTATGCGGGAAGAGAGAAGAAACAAATGAAAGTTAGCGAAAAAGTTCAAACTGAAGGATATCAAACAGTGGACATACTTGTATCATAATGACTGATTTTAATCCATGTTATCAAGAGCTCCCAGCCATTGGTTCCTAATATCTTGACGACCTCAGCCAGGCAATGTACACCACCTTACAACTCTTAGGTCGCAAGCCAAAGATTTCACGGACTGGTACCAAGCCTTCTGTCATCTTCAACCCTTTAACCCAATTCTACTCTGTTTGACACCGTCGAGGAAGGTACTGCGCCTTGGCATGCACAACACATCTCCAATTCGTGTCAAACAGACCCCCAGCGACTGGCTTGTCTCACTTACCTAATGCCATCCACCTAACCTCAACATTGTTCATACAATAATCCCATCAGATATGAGATGCTGCGAAGATATCTATGTTGGAAAATATGTAATCTCTCCTCACATCCACTTTCAATAACAATGTTTCACCCACAAAATTGAGATCAGTTCTGAACAGCATCACCTTTAGTCGACAGTTACTCAAATTGGTTCAGTGGATTTCAACCATTTCCGTTAAGGGCTCAGATCGACAGTCATAAAGGCTTTGTGAACTGGTTCTATACCATAATCTCAACATTAGCTTTCTTTCCGTCTAGTTCAATCTCTTAAGTGACACTGTGCTGGAATAGATTATGGATCATTAGGCTCCACACATATCTCAGTCGAGGTACACAACCTTCTCAACTGTCGTACCACCATTATCTAAGTTGATTGCCTACGTGACACTTCCGCTACATATAAGTGGTATTATTAAGGAAATAGAAGTCAAACACTCCAGGTTTTCTCAAATTCTTTGTCATCAATGATCACATTTGACAGTTATGTAGTAGGAAATGGCATTAATGTACAGGATACCGGAACCTTAACTGATATTCAAATATCTGGATAATGTCTAAAACGGCGAGAGTTAGTGGAACCGTCTTTGTTGTCTATCAACTCACCAGGACTGATGCAAATTGTAAGCGAAATGATCAATATGTTTATTCTTTATTGACACTTTCGATGACAAGAACATATGGTTTTTCTGCCGATTTGGATTCAAACCCCTTTACAATTGTGTCAGATTCTTATGTAAAGACTGAAATGGAACTCAAAGTAGATCATCTAAGTCAGTTGAACGACTAATTCTACGTCACAAACTTCTAAAAAGGCCGTATGTGATCGGCCTTAAGTAAAATGTCCGTTGGTCTCTGTGGTTACCCGCCACCATTAATAACCTGATTTTCTTAAAGGTGCCTCAAGAAGAACTAGCCTTCCACGGTGTGGACAACTGGAAAGTGTCAACCATCCTCACACCTGTATCAGCTTTCCAGTTTCATCAGATCATAATCAACCTACATCATAATCTAATAATACTTTACGCCTCTCGGTCAATATTCCTATACCAACCTCAGCTTCTATCAGCTCTGAAGATCTTGACAACCATTCGAGTGCGCAGAACAGCATCCATTTGTCTTATGAAACCATGCTCCAAATTACATACTGGAGTTTCTAATGTTCACATTCCGTATCAACTACACCAACAAGCTTCTCTAGCCAAAACTCTAGCATCTCGGGCAATGGATATATGCTGTGCTTCTGAGACACGTATACAGAACCCAAATGTAGTTATTTACTTCATCCAGTCAACATGGCAAATACGTAGAATTCACCCTTTGACTTTCAGCAGATTCGATCGCTAATTCTCACAATCTTGTACGTGTATGCATAGTTTTAAGTATTAAGGAAAAAAGTGTGTTGCCCGACTGGATCCCAGTTGACGGTCACCTATGAGCTGTTCGACAGAGCGGCACAGTGACGACTAAAATGAGAAGTGAAAATCATCGTTGTCTCCTCGTAATTTCTGCTTGGGTCCCCATTGACTACAGTTCGAGTGAGTTCCACCTAAAACTGTTTAGCCTCCTACTGAAAGAAAAACGTTCAAACGTGGTTGTTGTACCAGGTGATGTCAATGCATAAGTGGATAGGTTTTCAGACAGAAAGACACGTGACACTTTCGGGATCGCAGCTAAACGAGAAGACGATTTATTTTTGGCCAGCACGAACTTCAAACAAAGAGAGATACTGCCTAGTGGGGAGTCCACCAAACGCAACCCAGTAGTGGATACAGATAGACCATATTGGTACTAGTTGCACTAGAGGGGTCCGTAGATTGCCGCTTCTTCTAGAGCACGAGTTTAGACAGCAGCCAGACCATTCCAAGTGCTGCTTGACGATGAGAATACTAAGACTGATTTTTGCAAGAAACTGGGTAATGTTATCGGAACAAAAAATCCCT